AAGTCCTAAACCCTAAACCCTAAATGGAGGATGTTTGGGTTTCGGGTTGGGGTGTAGGGGCCCGGGCTTTAGCTCTCTCAGTCCCTGTGCAAGAAAAGCCAAAGTGCGACGTAACCTGAACCCTCCGTGCCTAGGGTTTAGGGTTTAGGGGTTTAGGGTTTAGGGGTTGGGGGTCTACGGTTTAGGGGTTTCTTCTTCCGGATTTGGCAAGAGTCACGTCGACGCGCCACAAATTCCAGACAAGCAATTAGCCTGCGATTAATGCCGGCAGTAAGGCGGTAAAGATGCTGGACTCCGCGAGCATTGCTGTACCCCGCCTCTGCACGAACATAAAATCAGCGGCTACAAAAATTTTGGGCTGATCTTCGCTGAGAAAAGCCTGCGCCCATTTGAGCGCAAAAGTCTGCACCCTAGGGCTATTAGGTGACTGAGCTCTGCTCCAGTCCTGAACAAAAGACTCAACCTCTGTCCTATCAGCAACTGCCACTAGCTTCAAGAAAGCTGGAACATCGGCAAGAGTGGAGAGCGCCTGGTAGGCCTCATTGACAGGAGTGACTGGATGGGGAGTCGGGCTTGGAACCGCTGCTGTTGGTGGTGGCCTCAAGGTCGACCACCATGGAAGCGGCCCCACAAAACTGGTGACTGGTACCTGCCCAGCTGCAAGCACCTCGTCAGGTTGCTCATCATGGTCCGCCTGTGCGAAGACAGCGCAACAAGCGGGGGTGCGACGCAGGTGCTCTCGGAGCCTGGCTGTTGACCAGAACTGTTTCCGGCAACAAACACACATGATCTCCTTTCCCTCTGGAGTGTGCATGCGCTCAGTATCTAGTTTGCAGCTTGTTTCCTGAGCGTGCCCTGCCAGGCATAAGTCCAGCCGGAGCAGGAGGGGATCGTGGTCAACCCCAGAGTGGAGATCGAGAATGGGTCGTGCCCCCAAGACTGTAGCTGCTGCGTGCCACATGTCCGGGTAGAGGATGAAGTCAAGGCAAAAAGTCTTCCCCTGGGGGGAGGTCCAGGTGACAATGGGCGTCCCGTCTGGGGTGCAGGTACCCGACGAGCACAGTGAATGCTGCTTGGATACCACTTCCATGTGGCACGCGTTGGCATTGTCCGGCGCTCCGCCATTCCAGTGAGCATTGGCATCGACACCTACGATTGGCACACAACCCCTGGGGGCTTGGCGTAGTACAAGGTTTCATTGATAACCTGTCGTGCCAACAGCCTAAGAAAGCGCCGTTCTCGGTTTTCTGCAGCGTGGCGGTTGTGAGCCCATGCGCCAAAGCAGAAGTGCATACACTCCTTTCCCCACAGCTTATTCCGGAAGCGGTGACGGCTGCGCAAAAACCGCTTTTGCAA